TCGTCAACAGCGAAGTTGAAGAGGAAAGGTGACAGCGGGCATCCTTGTCTCATACCGCCGGAGATATTAAAGGGCGACGACAACTTGCCCTAAGCCCTCACTCTGCCCGAGCTACGCGCACATAATGCTCGGATAATATTCACATATTTCTCAGGTACACCATTCCTGAGTAGACAGTCCCAAAGTGCACGTCTATCCACCGAATCGAATGCACCTTTGATATCGAGGAACACGACAATGGTGGGCCGCCAATATATGTGACGGTGCTCTAACAACTGGCGCAAGGTGAAGATGTGGTCAATGCAGCTACGACCTCGACGAAATCCAGCTTGCTCTTCACGAAGCTGGCTTTCACGAGTGCCAGTCAGTCTGTGAAGGATGACAGAGGCAAGCAATTTGGAGGCGATGGAGATCAGACTGATTCCTCTATGGCTGCCGTATTCCGATCGTGAGCCTCTTTTGAAAATTGGGACTATGATGGAGCGGCTCCAAGCGGTTGGGACAGTTTCCTGCTCCCACAGTTTCACTAATAACTCGTATAAATCATCCACAAGAGCAGGTCCCCCGAATTGGAAGAGGGCTGGAGGAAGGTCATCTGGTCCCGCGGCTTTATTTAACTTCAACAGTTTGATCTCATGTTCGACTTCTGAGCGAGAGGGTGAATCCAAAGGAACAGCCCACGCAGCAGGGCGATCACTGGTCGGCGAGAAATCTAACAATTCCGATCGATTAAATTGCCTTTCAAAGTGCTTAGCCCAACGTTTAAGGCGTTTTGTGGATAGGCTGTCTACTCTCGTCACGTATAATTTTACTAACACCAGGTCTCCTGCTGCCCGTTTCCCGTATAAGACGGAATAACTCACGATGGTTGCCAAGAGCAGCGGCCATTTCCATCTCTGTTGCACGACGAGACCACCAAGATTCGCGGTCTCTCTTCAGGCGAGCACGGAGTTTCGCTCGGAGCTCTTTGCGAGTTTCATTGCGTTCGCTTCTACCCGGAATATGCCGGCGAGCATCGAGATGTTCCAGAGACTGTGAAGAGACCCAATGTTCATGTTGGCGATTAGACACACCACATGAGGATTTTTCTGCTGCTAGTAAGGCCTGTTGCATATGAGACCAGTGAGCTTCTATTGCATCCAGTGAGCGTTTATCCAACTCGGATGACAGCGTAATTTGATAGGCGTTGAGAACAGCTGGCTTCACCAGTCTGCCGGTGTCAATGCGCTCACAACATCGTTGCGGGCGTCCGCCAAAGCGCATCCGAATGTCAGCACATACAAGTGCATGATCAGTGTCAACACCTGTACTCCAAATCGAGCGACAGTTCTGGACGCAGCTCTCCGTCGGTAACTGATAGCAAAGTGATCGATTTGCGTCCAAAGTTAACTCACAAAAGAGTGAAGTGGAGTTGAGGAAAAGAACAGGAAACCGCATTCGAAACTATTAAGCAGATCATCAGCAATGCGCCTGTACTAGGGTATTACGATCCAGCGCAACCGTTGGAGGTAGTATGACAGTAGTCAAGACGGATTAAGTGTTGTTCTATTAAAGAATGGAAAATCTTTGGATTTACGCAGTTGAGCACTAACCATGACCGAACAGCGCTATGCGCAGATTGAGGAGGAGATACTTGCGGCAGTCTACGCCATGGAGTCTTTTAACGAGTATACTTTCGGAAGGAAGACAACTTTGTATACCGACCATAACCCGCTTGTCAATAGCCAGGAAACCGCTGCATGTCGTACCTCGTCACGTTCAGCGTATGCCTATCCGGCTTCAAAAGGATGACAGATATTGTGCATCCGCCTGGTGCACAGCTGTTCATCACGGATACACTGTCAACAGCTCATGTGCCGGTACCCGAGCATAATCCGGTGGAGATCGAAGCAGTAAACTTAGTACAGTACCTGACAGTGACAGAAGATCGCCTAAAGGAACTAAGGCACCACACAGAGAAAGATGCAACGCTTCCAGCTTTGCGAGACGTTATGCTAAATAGGAGGCCAGAGACAGCGAGGCAGCTGCTGAAAAAAACTAATACCCTACTTCAATTTTCGGGATGAATTCTCTGTCTATGATGGTTTGCTGTTCAAGATAGGCCATATTCTGATTCCGTCGTCGTTCCGAGGAGAAATGCTGAAATACATTCATCGCGCTCACCTTGGTGCAAATTACACCATTAACCGAGCAAGAGAATTGATCTTTTGGCCAGGAATGACGGGTCAACTACAAGATCATGTATCGAATTGTGAGGCGTGCCCTTCACATGAAATCCGGCAGACGAGGGAACGAATGATGCTGCATGGTGTCTCTGGCCGACCGTGACAGAAGGTGGCGGTGGATTTATTCAGTGATAACGAGAAAGATTACTTACTCACGGTGGATTACTGTTGCGGGTCCGTCAAAAATCCCCCGCAAAAACGCGCCAGAAACCCCGGCAGAATGGCTGTAGAAAGCGGGGTCCAATTCCTCCCCACAACGCAGCAGAGCTCAGCCACTCCGAGCCGCGTCCCAACTGCGCACCTTTCGACAATGCTCATTTGCAAACTACCACCTCCGCGTGGTGACTGTTTTCCCTAACTTAATAACCCATAGCACTGGCTGTGATCGCCCTTTGTCGGTCGTAAAAAAGCCTACAGAGGACCACTTGTCTTTTCTTTCTCTTCGCCTCAGTTTGGAGGCGGTCGGGTCGCGTGATTGCGTGTGAATCGTTAGCTGGCCAGCCTTCGCGTCTAAGTCATTAGCGCGCGTCTATCCTACCCCCTCTCGTGTGCGTCCGTTTTCGAGGCCTCAGCGTCTATCCGAACAAGTGCGGCTAAGATCGTTCACACGCTCGTTCAATTTTCCGTCTCATCGGCTAGGCTAGCGTCATCAGGTCAGCGCCACTCCGTTCGAGTGGCCAACGTTACAATTCGTCATCGTAGGCGTGCTCCAACCGTGCGATCGACAATCTTGTCACGCAAGTACATCAAGAGGCGGCGTTCCCTCAATTATAACAATCACTATAGTGATTATTTTGAAATCGATCTACCCACCACGACGATCACAGAGGCAGTAATCAATAAGCAATGTAGGTTCGCATGGCAAGGTATACTGGACGAGCTGGTCTCCGACAATGGACCCCAGTTTACCAGCGGTGCGTGTCAGACGTTCGCAACCAGGTGGAAATCCGTACACCAGCAAACCAGCCCATAACACAGTCAATCGAATGGAAAGGCGGAGTCGGCAGTGAAGCAGGCCAAGCAACTGGTATCAAAGGAAGAGCAACTGGCGAGGACCCGTACATGATGTGACTGGAGAATCGCAACACAACTACAACGAATATCGGTGTGAGTTCAGTGCAGCACTGATACAGCCGAAGGACTAGAACTCTGATACCGGCACCGGCCACACTTTGAGCCCAGTTTTGCCATAGCACAAACGATTACAGAACAATCTGATACGACGACTGACCACTCAGAAACGGTACTATGCCCGCGATGCACGAGTACTACCTGAGCTAACAGTGGGGAGGAAGTGTGGATTCAACCACTACCCGATAGTCAAGAGCGGTAGAAGAAAGGTGTGGTGACTACGAGGGTCGGTGCCAGGTCATACGAAATAAAGGTTGGAGGAAAAAGATTCAGAAGAAATCGAGTGCATTTGAGACGACATCGGAGACAAAAAAGTGAATTGGGAGTGGAGTGACAGTTGGCGAGGGCCAAGGAGACCACTGCCGCAGATACAGCGAAGACGACGCGGAATGGTAAGTTGTACGGGGTGGATAGCAATATGGAGGCGCAAGAACACGAAAAATGGTAGGATGTGATGGTAGTATCAGATCAGAGTGAGCAGATGGGCCAACCGAGCGAGCCAGACAGCCGACGGGAGACGAGCGTAACGGATTCGAGTACTTGACTCGGATTGGCCAATATTCGACTGAGTGATTCACCAGTTGTTCAACTGAAGCAAAGGAGGAACCACATCGACTTAGAAGGGTCGTTAGTAATGGACTTGAACCTGCAACTTATATCGAGAAGTTTGGCTTGCAAAACATACTGCAATTTCGCTGAGCTGTCTTTACCGAATAAACGCTTGTCCCTGAAGGACTGAGTTCTGCAACAGACAGCCTACACACTACACTGCTATAGTTTTGTTTTGTTGCAGTAGTATCGTGTCGTCCATATTGTCATTAGGAACGTAGTATTATAGAGAATGTGCTTTAAATGAGAAACGGAATCAAAAAGGTTCACAAAATGATTTCTGTAAAAGAATAACCAAGTTAGATGAATTAGAACATCAAGGATTGGCAGACATCGCCCGTATCAGATAATAGTTTAAAAAATTCGCGCAGCTTCCACATGGTTAGGAAATGATCAGGGGATTTTGAAATGTCTACGAAGAAATCCGTCGCCTTTTGGGATGCTTGTTGCTTCATGCCTGGCCAAAAGGAATTTATCCCGAGAAGCCCAATTTGAGGCAAAGTACAAAGGAAAGACGGCTGCTAAATAGAGAGGCGGGATGGGTATCGATTGACAAATTCGAGTATGCAATTGGGATGAGATCGGACTTCAATCCGCACATCTCAAAGATCCATTACAAAATGCTGGGTGCACTTAACAGTTGACTACAGGGTCACAACCATACAAGAGAGGCTATCGATCAGACGTCAAACGATATAAGTCCAAACATCATCCTGACAGGAGCATGGGAAAGTCAATGACTTTTCCTTAGGAGCTATTTATGGAAGGCAATAGTCGGCGAAACCAAGGGCATAGTCGGAACTGAAGTGAGCATTACATAGGGAGTTCGACAATACGTGAACACCCGTCAACATGACAGCTGTGCATATAGAGGTGAAAGGTTCAAGGGACTACAAAAACTGGGAGAGGTGTCGGTATGCATCAAATAAGTCGGAGATCCGCACAAAGAGCAAAACAAAACGGAAAAAGCGGGATAATGTAGCGGAGAATAATTGCCACAAGGTACCAACGGTTATGCTGCGTTAAAACAATTAGTCAGTCAAGTAGAAGACAAATGTGTCGCGAAGTAGGGTACCTGATAAGTTTCCGTTTCAAGTCCCAACCGCTAACGCCCCCGTGTAGGGAGTACCGAGTTCCGGTTACTATGTCATAATTTCCCGCTTTTTGTAGTCTAGAAAAATGAATAATGATTGTAACCATATAACTAGAATTTACTCGATAAATTTGGGAATAAATTTAGGCTAAAATGGACAAGATTGAACGGTACAGTCAAAAAAAACATTGTCTACATGATGTGATAAATCAGCGTCCATAATCACGATGAATTCGCCTTTGGCATATTGTAAGCCGTGCATATAGGCTGTCCCTAAAACAGAGTAACACCGATTAAAAGAAACAACATACCGAGACCGAGTTTGGCCATTCTTGGCTTCAGCACCTTATTGAAACAACACAAATGTCTTAAACGATGGTACACTCACGATGGTGCTCTCTCCGTAAATTTTTTGTAACTGTTTGGCCGCATCCAATGTGCCATCGGGACTGTTGTCATCTACGATGATAATTTCGTACGCGTAACCACTGATGATGGGATAATGGAAATAACAAGTCAGCTGAATCAACAAAAGTAACGAATTATAGACAGTGAAAACAAGGCGATTGAGCCAATCAGACCTGTGAACCGTAGAAAAACGAGTCGCGTATTCGCGGCAACATGAGCAAGTGAGGAACGATGGGTTCTACTTGACATCGTTGTATGCATGTCAGGGGTAATCATCACGGGGACAGAAACAGTTTATTTGTATGAGAGTAAAAGTAGTGACTTTGTGGGGAAAACGTCGATAAACGTCGAGCGATGAAGCTAGAATGGAAAACTTGGCATTTAACAGGGGTGGCGATGACAGAATGAGACCATCAGCGAGTAAATGATGGAAATCGCAGCTTAGCTGCAACCCATGAAGAATAACTAAAGGAAACACTTCATTGTGAAGATAGTATGTGGGGGGCCATCACCAAGGTAAAGATAACAATCGACCCAGTAAAACAAAAAGCAAGCTATTGCAGCTACCGCCAACACCTTTGATTCAAGCAATGTACACCTATGCATTGTGAAAGGGTAGTCGTGGTTACGTTCAGCTGCGGAGTAATGATAAAACGAAAGGACTGCCCGGTGTCAGTGCGGATTTGCTGTGATTCTCTGACTGAGTCTAACAGCAAAAGAATCTCTTCAGGAAATGTTGGTAATAGAAGAGAGGGAAAGTATTTGAGACAAACGCTTCCCGCCAAGTGCATGCAACAGATAATCGACTTCAGTAACTTGTTGTCAAAGCCTCCCTTTGTAGACAAAATATGAGACTTGAGGGATAAATTGAAAATCACGGACACGGGTCCGTAAATCCTCACTACATGTCGATATTAAAAAAACAAACATAACTGAAGTAGCATGGAGAATTCACACATAGCTGTATCTCTTCGAGTAATACTCTGCGGAGAATTCATCCAGTGACATAAAGCAAACTGAGGAGGGACAAGTGGTATGCTCCAGAAAATAGTCTGTATGTTGGCTAAATACAGTTCGCATGACGCTGTAGTGAGTTAGTATAAGTCTTTAGCTAATGGATGGAGTTTAAACATGGGTAGACGGCATAAGCATGAAGCTGACAGAAAGCTGTGGCCACTTTGATGTGCACCGTCTACTAGGACGTCATGAAACCCAGTAGAGACAAGCACCGTCCTGTATGCGAAAGTTAGTCGACGCTATCAAGTGCCTGAGCACAGACAGCTGTTCAATGGAATCCAATCACCACATTGTAAATTTTCGAGTAGTTCTCCGGGCCCGCCGAACCCGGAGCAACAGGTCGATGACGCTTTGTGCGAGCGCGGTGGTTCCAACCGCGGCGTGACCCCCATAAATGATTGTAGTTTAATGAACAAAGGTGACGGTCTATATCACTTCGTTGCCGCTCGTTGTCCGGACATAGTGGGACTGGCCGAAACCTGGTCAAATCCTGAGGTCACTACCAAGGAGTTCCAGATCAGTGACTTCTCATGGTTCCGGTGAGACAGATTATCAAACGAGCGCGGTGGCGTTCTGTTATTCATTAGGTCTTCGCTGTGCGGGAACCTGGTAAACACATACCGAAGCGAAGATGGTTTGTGCGAGCAACTTTGATGCTCGATCCGTCTGAGACGGTGAAATGTTTATGGGTGCAGCTTATCGCAGCCCGTAAAGTTGATGGCTGGACTGGTTGCCGCATGTAAGAAACTACATGAGTAGGCTTCGCTTCATGCTTATGGGTGATTTTAACTTCCCTCGAATACTATGATCAGAGGTTTAGCTCCTCCCCAGGCACTGTGAAATCGAGATGCAATTTGCAGAGATGATATCTGGGACTGGGGCAGCACAACAGTCTGTCAACCGACGCGTGTTATACCGCATTCTGCTCCATCGTGCTTGGACCTACTATTAACTAGTTGCGAGCAAGGTGTAGATGATATGCAGGTCTTGAAGCATCGGGCAACTAGCGACCAATCCATAGTATTAGCCAGCCTAGATCTGCTGCTGCCCCACTCGCGTCCGCTGGAGCCGTCCTACAATTACTGGAAGACGGATTTCGAAGGTCTTTTTTAAGCCGTTATTGCAGGATTCATCTACTGAAGCCTGCTGGTCTATCAAAAAAGAGGGTGTGCAATCATCGTGCGCTCGTTTTGTACCCCTCAAGTATTGGAAAGCTGGACCAGTGAAACCAGATTGGTTCGACAACGACCCGTATAGTGGAATAAATTCCTTGTAGCTGGTTCTGCCGACGATTGAGGCGTATAAAAGGCAGAGAAATCTATGCAACAGCGCAAAAGCGTAGGCAGTTCGAAGAACAGCTTGCAACCTCAACGAAGACAGCCCCTAAGGAGATTTTTGCTTATGTGGAGCGGCGCCTGAGGCCCACAAGTGACATAGCTGTGTTAGAGGGCACTGACGGACAGCCCCTGACCTCCAGCACTGAACGTGTGTCCGCATTGGCGGAGCACTTCACTTCCGTATTTACAAGTGGGCACGCGCCTATGTCGAACACGACGTGTGCAGCTCCTACTGAACTCGATGGCCTGGACTGCGGTGTAGATGTTCGCAGTCAACTCGCCAGTCTTGACGACACGAAAGTTGCCGGACCCGATGGACTTCACTCGCTTATCGTAAAGTCCTTATCGTCCAAGATCTCGCCTGCCGTGGCGGATCTGTTCAACAGATCGCTGTGCGAGGGTGTATTGCTGAGTGACTGGAAATGCTCGATGGTGAAACCGATTCCAAATGGCGGTGACCCAAGAAATGTTGATAATCACCGTCCGATTTGCCTCACCTCTGTTTTGGCGAATGTGCTCGAAAAAAATGTGAAAAAGTGCCTTCTCCAGCTGTTAGAGTCGAAAGATCTCATAACGCAGACAAACCACGGCTTCATGAAGGGCCACTCGTGCATCATCAACCAGCTGTTGACGCGGCAAGAATGGCTGCAAGTGTTGAACAGGGGGAATCATTGATTTCAGTAAAGCATTCGATAAACTGAACCATGAGGTCCTGCTTCCCAAGCTGAGGATTTGTGGTGTTGGTGGCGCACTACAGCAGTGGATCAGTGACTTCCTTATTCGGAGAAGATGGCGAGTACAGGTGGATGACCATATAACAGACTGGTACCCTTCCACTAATGGTGTACCCCAGAGCAGTGCTGGGGCCAATTTTATTCCTGATCAACATAAAGGAATTGCCTCAGATTCTTCGGACACCTTGTGCACTGTTTGCAGACGACTCGAGGAGTTGGAGGGTTAATGATTCTCCCGGGCAAAAGGAAGCGTTCGACTAATAATGAGAGGATATACTAAAAAAATCCAATTAGACAGGACGGTGAGAGTAATGGAGTCTAATTTGGGAAATGTAACGTACAGCTACATTAGGTTGTCTCGTGGGTATGAAGGTGTGGCTTGCAAACCTTTCTATAATGAACACTGGCAGAGAAACAAGGCGGTGTGGGCTGATAGGGAGCCAATGGTGAGAAATATTGGGTATAATGGTGACACTAACTCGGACAGCAAAACCAACACAAATGCAACCGCCGTCAATACTGGCTCAAATTAGTAGTAGTATAGTCAGCAGCCTATCAAATAGACATAGATCGAATATAAACATGGAAATCACTAAAAGAACACAAGTTGAACACTGTATCAGCATCATAGCACTAAAAGTGAACAACACACTTCAACTACTGCGCCGCAATATAACAAAACAACGGAACATTTTTTGGTATGTTGCACACGTCGTTTTAATTTTTTGTCATTTTTAACCGTCAAGCATTAAGTATCCAGATCGAAGCAGTTATATACACAGATCCTGCACTAATTTCGATTACGAGTAATATAGTGAAATGTTTACAGCCATTGGCACTACTCCTCTTTTGGTCCCCAACCAGGCAAAATGTGAATCCAATAATGGCAAGACGTGTAGTCAACGATTTCATTTGCTGTCGCCAGGTGGATGGTGGACTACCACGTGGTCTCTTCCAGTTGAGTCCTGCACGAGCAAACAGAGCGCGAGAGGACAAACGCAGGACATGAGCGAGCCATCTCATCTGGTGCAGCAAAACCAGCTTTCTGAAGGGAATAATCGCATTCCATAAGACGACGTCTGACTTCACTGTTGCAAATGTGTTGCTGCCACCACACACGAGCAATCCTCCTCAAGCACCCGTTGTCGAAGGCCGAGAGCCGGCGCATATGGTCCACGCGAAGTGCCTATGACTCACTTCCATATAGCAACAACGCGGGAATGGTGGTATTGTCAACACGATCCTTTACCAAGAGGGAGATATCCCGGCGACGCTACAAGTGCTGCAGGTTGACAAACGCCGACCGAGCTTTGGCGATGCGAAGAGAAACTTCCCTTCTAATGGTACCACCAGCAGACACACAGCTGCCAAGGTAGACAAAGCTATGCACTTGTGCAAGCTGTGTACCTACAATATTGAGCACGGGAACAGTTGAGTGCCAATCCTGAAGCAGCACATTACACTTTGGCGGGACAAAGCACATTCCGTACCTAGATGCCTTAATCACCAAGCGGTCTATAATGGTTTGCATGCTCTGTGAGTCCTCACCAAGTAAGGCGATATCATCGGCATAATATAAGTCGGTTGCTCGCTTGCCGGGTAATAGCTGCATACCAAAATTTTGGCAATTGTCTAGAGCTCTTGACAGTATGTCTTCAATCGCTAAATTGAAGAGGAACGGGACATAGAGCAGCCTTGTCGTACAACGCTAATGACAGCAAAGGATGACGAAAGTCTGCCATACACCCTCACTCTGCCAGAGATGTGGACACACAGTGTGTGTAGGATGGCAGTGTACTTCTTCTGGGACACCGTTCCTTAGCAAACAACGCCATAGTGCAGGTCGATCAACCGAGTCGAATGCGGCACGGATGTCCAGGAATGCAACGATGGTAGGCCTCTGGTAAAGGTGGTGGTGTTCCATGATTTGACGGAGTGTGAATATCTGATCCACACACCTGCGGCCAGGTCGGAAGCCAGCTTGTTCTTCTC